GAGTCGTGTAGAGAGAAGGGCTTGATACCTTTTTACGTGAGTTGTGTAGAGAGAAGGGCTTGATACCTTTTTACGTGAGTCGTGTAGAGAGAAGGGCTTGATACCTTTTTACGTGAGTCGTGTAGAGAGAAGGGCTTGATATCTTTTTACGTGAGTCGTGTACAGAGAAGGGCTTGATACCTTTTTACGTGAGTCGTGTAGAGAGAAGGGCTTGCTACCTTTTTACATGAGTCGTGTACAGAGAAGGGCTTGATACCTTTTTACGTGAGTCGTGTACAGAGACGGGCTTGATACCTTTTTACGTGAGTCGTGTAGAGAGAAGGGCTTGATACCTTTTTACGTGAGTCTAAGTCGTATAGAGAGAAGTTGGTTTGGGAGCAAGGCCGTATACCGGACCTAAAACCCGACCAAAAGCAAGAATGATTTTGTTCGTGCAGCTTGATAGACTAACTAGTACATCGGTGATTGTTCTCCAGCATTAAATACACTCTGTAGAGTAGAAAAAATATTTTAAATTCTGCATGAGCTGTAGAGTTAAAGCTAAGCCACGTCCATGCTCCTCTTATAGGGTCACACAATTGGGGCACACAATTGGGTCACACAATTGGGTCACACAATTGGGTCACACAATTGGGTCACACAATTGGGTCACACAATTGGGCCACATAATTCGGTCATACAATTGGGTCACACAATTGGGTCACACAATTGGGTCACACAATTGGGTCACACAATTGGGCCACACAATTGGGTCACACAATTGGGCCACATAATTGGGTCATACAATTGGGCCACACAATTGGGTCACACAATTGGGCCACACAATTGGGTGCCCAGAAAGCTCACTTCAATAGTTTAGTAACTTAGTACTTGGCTAATGAAAAAGTAATTCCTTTCTGTTGCTAAATAATGACACAGCTTTATAAAAAATGTACTCAAAATTAATGCTATAAATAAAAATAATATAAGGCTAAAACACGCACAGTAAACCATTACACTTATCAAGCCTCAGAGTTTCGCATTCTTTTGACCGACTTGCCAGATAAAGCTAAACATGACACAATTTTTGGCGGGCGGAAAATGAGGGTGTCTATTTTTCTTGTTCCGCTTCTGCTTGGTACTTGTATCGTCGTAAGATGCACTGAATTAAATCGTTTGTAAACAGGCATTCTCATGGTGTGAACAAACTTTCCGTTTGTTAGGCCTACCTTTACTTACCTATACCTACCTCTACCTACCTCTACCTACCTTTACCTACCTCTACCTACCTCTACCTACCTCTACCTACCTCTACCTACCTTTACCTACCTCTACCTACCTCTACCTACCTCTACCTACCTCTACCTACCTCTACCTACCTCTACCTACCTCTACCTACCTCTACCTACCTCTACCTGCCTTTACCTGCCTTTACCTACCTCTACCTACCTCTACCTACCTCTACCTACCTCTACCTGCCTTTAGCATAAATGATAAATTGAGAGTTGGATCAAAATCTCAAGTGATGGATTTTGCAACAGTTTGTGACAAACGCTATCAGTTATACTAACGGTTATGAAAGTGTTTACTTTCTTAGCTTTAGTGCATTGAAATTCTGTTATTATAAATGTCATCTTTTGCGCAGGTGTGTGCTACATTGGGCACAACTGGGGCATGTGCTTTCGATAACTTGAAGGAAATTGGACCAGTGTGTGAGTCGACATTTTTACACTCTTATATAGGCCTACATGGAAAGATAAAGGACTAATTATATTAAAAAATCGAAACACTAATCCTAACCCTAATCCTAACCCTATTCCTAACCTTAAATCTTATACACTGGTTACTGTCAAATTTGGACGGCACACTATTTCCAGTTTTCTAAGAAATTTATAAGAATTCGGTGATTTAATTTACATTTTAATGGAGTATATTACAAGAACGTATCACCTCTGCCCGTCACCCCCCCCCCCTCCATTGTTATTAACAAACACACAAGATGGGAGATCTATCCCGTTTATAATGAACACATCCAATTGTTTTGGCTGGCGAGAAATTCTTCATGTTATCGAATATTTGGTGAGAAATTCTTCATGTTATCGAATATTTGCAGGTGAAGCAGAACGGGTCTGGCTTCACATTGACGCGGCCTACGCTGGGTCAGCATTCATTTGCCCGGAGTACAGAGAGTATATGTCAGGTGTGTCATCAAATGTGTCATATATGTCAGGTGTGTCATCAAATGTGACATATATGTCAGTTGTGTCATATATGTCAGGTGTGTCATGTATGTCATCAGATGTTTCATGTCACCAGGTGTGTCATGTCACCAGGTGTGTCATGTCACCAGGTGTGTCATGTCACCAGGTGTGTCATGTCACCAGGTGTGTCATGTCACCAGGTGTGTCATGTCACCAGGTGTGTCATGTCACCAGGTGTGTCATGTCACCAGGTGTGTCATGTCACCAGGTGTGTCATGTCACCAGGTGTGTCATGTATGTCGTGAAAGTCAGGTATCTCATATTTATCAGAAAATTTTCTGTTATGCAATTGTCGCTATGTTTCATGTTAAAGTATCGAAGTGTTTAATCTACAAGTATCGAAGTAATCGATCTGCAAGTATCGAAGTGTTTTATCTATAAGTATCGAAGTAATCGAAATGCAAATATCGAAGTGTTTAATCTACAAGTATCGAAGTAATCGAAATGCAAGTATCGAAGTGTTTAATCTACAAGTATCGAAGTTATCGATCTGCAAGTATCGAAGTGTTTAATCTACAAGTATCGAAGTAATCGCTGTGCAAGTATCGAAGTGTTTAATCTACAAGTATCGAAGTAATCGATCTGCAAGTATCGAAGTGTTTAATCTACAAGTATCGAAGTAATCGATCTGCAAGTATCCATGTACTCTGCAGGTATCGAGCTGGTCGACTCGTTCGCCTTTAACCCCAGCAAGTGGCTGATGGTCCACTTTGACTGTAGCGCCATGTGGGTCAAGGACGCCAGAGCTCTGCACAGGACCTTCAACGTGGAGCCTCTGTACCTGCAGCACGAGAACTCAGGTAGGTGAAGTAGAGATACCCTGTACCTGCAGCACGAGAACTCAGGTAGGTGAAGTAGAGGGGGGGGCCTGTACCTGCAGCACGAGAACTCAGGTAGGTGAAGTAGAGGGTGGGGGCTGTACCTACAGCACGAGAACTCAGGTAGGTGAAGTAGAGATACCCTGTACCTGCAGCACGAGAACTCAGGTAGGTGAAGTAGAGATACCCTGTACCTGCAGCACGAGAACTCAGGTAGGTGAAGTAGAGGGGGGGCCTGTACCTGCAGCACGAGAACTCAGGTAGGTGAAGTAGAGGGGGGGCCTGTACCTGCAGCACGAGAACTCAGGTAGGTGAAGTAGAGGGTGGGGGCTGTACCTACAGCACGAGAACTCAGGTAGGTGAAGTAGAGGGGGGCCTGTGCATGTATGTTAGAGTTTTACACGTCTGTCAAAATGTTCTGTGTCTGTATGTCAGAATTTTACACATGTCTGTCAAAATTTTCTGTGTCTGTATGTCAGAATTTTACACTTACCTGTCAAAATTTCCCATCGCTCCCCAGGTGCTGCCATTGACTATATGGTGAGTTATTTTCTCCATTCACGATTGTGGGATGGGTAGGTAGTCTTGTTTAGTACATACACGTATCAGCGAGATGGGCGGGGCTTCGTATGTTCTGTTTGCCAATTCGACAAATCTGACATTTGAAACATTTGAAAAACAATAACACAAATGTGGTGGTACATCTTTCATTAATAATGGCGTAGTAATTACATCTTTCATTAATAATGGCGTAGTAATTACATCATCCATTAATAATGGCTCAGTAATTACATCATTCATTAATGATGGCTCAGTAATTACATCATTCATTAATAATGGCTCAGTAATTACATCTTTCATTAATAATGGCTCAGTAATTACATCATTCATTAATAATGGCTCAGTAATTACATCTTTCATTAATGATGGCTCAGTAATTACATCATTCATTAATGATGGCTCAGTAATTACATCATCCATTAATGATGGCTCAGTAATTACATCATCCATTAATAATGGCTCAGTAATTACATCTTTCATTAATGATGGCTCAGTAATTACATCATCCATTAATAATGGCTCAGTAATTACATCATTCATTAATAATGGCTCAGTAATTACATCATCCATTAATAATGGCGCAGTAATTACATCATCCATTAATGATGGCTCAGTAATTACATCATTCATTAATGATAGCTCAGTAATTACATCATTCATTAATAATGGCTCAGTAATTACATCATTCATTAATAATGTCTCAGTAATTACATCATTCATTAATGATGGCTCAGTAATTACATCATTCATTAATGATGGCTCAGTAATTACATCATTCATTAATGATGGCTCAATAATTACATCATTCATTAATAATGGCTCAGTAATTACATCATCCATTAATAATGGCGCAGTAATTACATCATCCATTAATGATGGCTCAGTAATTACATCATTCATTAATGATGGCTCAATAATTACATCATTCATTAATAATGGCTCAGTAATTACATCATCCATTAATAATGGCTCAGTAATTACATCATCCATTAATGATGGCTCAGTAATTACATCATTCATTAATGATGGCTCAATAATTACATCATTCATTAATAATGGCTCAGTAATTACATCATCCATTAATAATGGCTCAGTAATTACATCATCCATTAATGATGGCTCAGTAATTACATCATTCATTAATGATGGCTCAATAATTACATCATTCATTAATAATGGCTCAGTAATTACATCATCCATTAATAATGGCGCAGTAATTACATCATCCATTAATGATGGCTCAGTAATTACATCATTCATTAATGATGGCTCAGTAATTACATCATTCATTAATAATGGCTCAGTAATTACATCATCCATTAATGATGGCTCAGTAATTACATCATCCATTAATGATGGCTCAGTAATTACATCATTCATTAATAATGGCTCAGTAATTACATGATTCACCAGTGATATCACGTTTATAACATAATTCATGGCCATCTTTTAGAACTGGGCCATCTTTTAGAACTGTGCCATCTTTTAGAACTGGGCCATCTTTTAGAACTGGGCCATCTTTTAGAACTGGGCCATCTTTTAGAACTGGGCCATCTTTTAGAACTGGGCCATCTTTTAGAACTGGGCCATCTTTTAGAACTGGGCCATCTTTTAGAACTGGGCCATCTTTTAGAACTGGGCCATCTTTTAGAACTGGGCCATCTTTTAGAACTGGGCCATCTTTTAGAACTGGGCCATCTTTTAGAACTGGGCCATCTTTTAGAACTGGGCCATCTTTTAGAACTGGGCCATCTTTTAGAACTGGGCCATCTTTTAGAACTGGGCCATCTTTTAGAACTGGACCAACTTTTAGAACTGGGCCATCTTTTAGAACTGGGCCATCTTTTAGAACTGGACCATCTTTTAGAGCTGGGTCACCTTAATGAACCTATGACAATCGAATTGAACCTATAAAAATAGTATTGAACCTATGACAATCATATTGAACCTATGACAATCGTATTGAACCTATGACAAGCGTATTGAACCTATGACAATAGTATTGAACCTATGACAATCATATTGAACCTATGATAATCCTATTGAACCTATGACAATCGTATTGAACCTATGACAATAGTATTGAACCTATGACAATCGTATTGAACCTATGACAAACGTAAACCTACTGGTTTCAGCACTGGCAGATCGCATTAAGTCGTAGGTTCAGGTCCCTCAAGCTCTGGTTCGTCCTGAGAAGTTTTGGTGTGAAGGGTCTTCAGCAGCATATCCGCAGGGTGAGTACAGCCACATACAGCCACACATAGCCACACACAGCCACATACAGCCACATACAGCCACACAACAACATACAGCCACATACATCCACATACAGCCACATACAGCCACATACAGCCACATACAGCCACATACAGTCACACAACCACATACAGCCACATACAGTCACACAACCACATACAGCCACATACAGCCACATACAGTCACATACAGCCACATACAGCCACATACAGCCACATACATCCACATACAGCCACATACAGCCACATACAGCCACATACAGCCACACAACAACATACAGCCACATACATCCACATACAGCCACATACAGCCACATACAGCCACATACAGCCACATACAGTCACACAACCACATACAGCCACATACAGTCACACAACCACATACAGCCACATACAGCCACATACAGTCACATACAGCCACATACAGCCACATACAGCCACATACATCCACATACATCCACATACAGCCACATACAGCCACATACAGCCACATACAGCCACATACAGCCACATACAGTCACACAACCACATACAGCCACATACAGTCACACAACCACATACAGCCACACACAGTCACATACAGCCACATACAACAACATACAGCCACATACAGTCACATACAGCCACATACATCCACATACAGCCACATACAGCCACATACAGCCACATACAGTCACATACAGCCACATACAGCCACACACAGCCACACACAGTCACACACAGTCACACAACCACATACAGCCACATACAACCACATACAGCCACATACAGCCATACAAAGCCGCATACAGCCACATACAGCAACATACAGACATATATAGCCACACACAAACACATACAGCCACATACAGCCACATACAGCCACACACAACCACATACAGCCACACACAGCCACATACAGCCACACAACCACATTGAGCCACATACAGTATTTTAGGGCATTGACACTGTCCATACAATATTTTAGGGCATTGACACTGTCCATACAATATTCTAGGGCATTGACCTGGCCAAAAAATTTGAGCAGCTTGTAGCAGAAGACCCGAGGTTTGAGGTAGCCGCGAGGAGAATTCTGGGAATGGTGGTCTTTAGAATCGCAGTAAGTAGCAGTCTACAAATGCCATCACATCCTGCCTACAAATGTCATCACACCCTGCCTACAAATGTCATCACATCCTGCCTACAAATGTCATCACATCCTGCCTACAAATGTCATCACACCTTGCCTACAAATGTCATCATATCCTGCCTACAAATGTCATCACATCCTGTCTACAAATGTCATCACACCTTGCCTACAAATGTCATCACATCCTGTCTACAAATGTCATCACATCCTGTCTACAAATGTCATCACACCTTTCCTACAAATGTCATCACATCCTGCCTACAAATGTCATCACACCTTGTCTACAAATGTCATCACATCCTGTCTACAAATGTCATCACATCCTGCCTACAAATATCATCACACCCTGCCTACAAATGTCATCACATCCTGCCTACAAATATCATCACATCCTGTCTACAAATGTCATCACTCCCCCCCCCCCCACCCTAATATTATCACTTCTTGATCGATTCAACCAACCTTCCCCCCCCCCCCCAGGGCGCCAACGAGTTGACGGAAGATCTCCTCAAGCGCCTTAACAAGCAGGGTAAGGTTCACATGGTGCCGGCATCCTTGAAGGGAAAATACGTCATACGATTCACTGTGACGTCACAGTTCACAACGGAAGCAGACATCGAGAGGTCAGAGGTTAAATATCTTCCATCATGAACACAACACTTTATACGTGAACACATGAACACAACACTTTATACATGAACACAACACTTTATACATGAACACAACACTTTATACATGAACACAACACTTTATACGTGAACACAACACTTTATACATGAACACAACACTTTATACGTGAACACAACTCTTTATACGTGAACACAACACTTTATACATAAACACAACACTTTATACATGAACACAACACTTTATACATGAACACAACACTTTATACATGAACACAACACTTTATACGTGAACACAACACTTTATCCATGAACACAACACTTTATACATGAACACAACACTTTATACATGAACACAACACTTTATACATGAACACAACACTTTATACATGAACACAACACTTTATACATGAACACAACACTTTATACGTGAACACAACACTTTATACGTGAACAAAACACTTTATACATGACCACAACACTTTATACATGAACACAACACTTTATACATGAACACAACACTTTATACATGAACACAACACTTTATACGTGAACACAACACTTTATACGTGAACACAACACTTTATACGTGAACACAACACTTTATACGTGAACACAACACTTTATACATGAACACAACACTTTATACGTGAACACAACACTTTATACATGAACACAACACTTTATACGTGAACACAACACTTTATACGTGAACACAACACTTTATACATGAACACATGAACACAACACTTTACACATGAACACATGAACACAACACTTTATACATGAACACATGAACACAACACTTTATACATGAACACAACACTCAATACATGAACACAACACTCTATACATGAACACATGAACACAACACTTTATACATGAACACAACAGTTTATACGTGAAAACAACACTTTATACATGAACACAACAGTTTATACGTGAACACAACACTTTATACATGAACACAACAGTTTATACGTGAACACAACACTTTATACATGAACACAACACTTTATACATGAACACAATACTAGCCTCAGGACAAATGATCTTAGTCAAAATATCCGAGACAAAATATCTCAGGACAAATTACTTTACGGACAAATAATTTCACGGACAAAATATATCAGGACAAAATATATCAGGACAAATGATCTCAGACAAATGATCTCAGACAAATGATCTCAGACAAATGATCTCAGACAAATGATCTCAGACAAATGATCTCAGACAAATGATCTCAGACAAATGATCTCAGACAAATGATCTCAGACAAATGATCTCAGACAAATGATCTCAGACAAATGATCTCAGACAAATGATCTCAGACAAATGATCTCAGACAAATGATCTCAGACAAATGATCTCAGACAAATGATCTCAGACAAATGATCTCAGACAAATGATCTCAGACAAATGATCTCAGACAAATGATCTCAGACAAATGATCTCAGACAAATGATCTCAGACAAATGATCTCAGACAAATGATCTCAGACAAATGATCTCAGACAAATGATCTCAGACAAATGATCTCAGACAAATGATCTCAGACAAATGATCTCAGACAAATGATCTCAGACAAATGATCTCAGACAAATGATCTCAGACAAATGATCTCAGACAAATGATCTCAGACAAATGATCTCAGACAAATGATCTCAGACAAATGATCTCAGACAAATGATCTCAGACAAATGATCTCAGACAAATGATCTCAGACAAATGATCTCAGACAAATGATCTCAGACAAATGATCTCAGACAAATGATCTCAGACAAATGATCTCAGACAAATGATCTCAGACAAATGATCTCAGACAAATGATCTCAGACAAATGATCTCAGACAAATGATCTCAGACAAATGATCTCAGACAAATGATCTCAGACAAATGATCTCAGACAAATGATCTCAGACAAATGATCTCAGACAAATGATCTCAGACAAATGATCTCAGACAAATGATCTCAGACAAATGATCTCAGACAAATGATCTCAGACAAATGATCTCAGACAAATGATCTCAGACAAATGATCTCAGACAAATGATCTCAGACAAATGATCTCAGACAAATGATCTCAGACAAATGATCTCAGACAAATGATCTCAGACAAATGATCTCAGACAAATGATCTCAGACAAATGATCTCAGACAAATGATCTCAGACAAATGATCTCAGACAAATGATCTCAGACAAATGATCTCAGACAAATGATCTCAGACAAATGATCTCAGACAAATGATCTCAGACAAATGATCTCAGACAAATGATCTCAGACAAATGATCTCAGACAAATGATCTCAGACAAATGATCTCAGACAAATGATCTCAGACAAATGATCTCAGACAAATGATCTCAGACAAATGATCTCAGACAAATGATCTCAGACAAATGATCTCAGACAAATGATCTCAGACAAAATGATTCCGTCCTGAGATATTTCGTTGTGTAATCTGTCTTACGATCATCAATTTTCCTGTCATCCTAAAAACATCTGACATTTGACATTTGACATCTGACATCTGACATCTGACATGTGACATTTGACATCTGACATCTGACATCTGACATCTGACATCTGACATCTGACATTTGACATTTGACATATGACATCTGACATTTGACATTTGACATCTGACATCTGACAACAACCAATGTGTGACCTTCCCCAGGGACTGGAGGATCATAACGTCGATGGCGGGGGTCGTCCTTGACGAGTCCTTGGCTGCTGAGGATGAGGGGATAGAAGAAAACGATGAAGATGAAGAGGACGAGGAAGAGATGAGGTTAAAGGTTAAATCCGGCGCACGGGAGGTGAAGGTCATCAGGGATGAGAGCAGTGTCAAGAAACATACCGCCGTGCATATATCGATAGGGCCAAAGGTCACGGGCCCGAGGCGTCGAGATTTCGGCATCAGCCTGTTGCTTAGCAACGTTCCAATGAGCCCCAAGGTCGTGAACGGCAGCTTCGCGGCTCTGTTCGACAGCAGCAACCTGGGACTGGAGCAGCTTGCCAGACAGCTCATCGTGGGAGGGGAATTTATCCGATTATCTCCCCGCAGGAGGGGCCGCTTGGGTGACCATGAGAAACAAATGAGCCTAGACTACAGCGTCCTTAGCAACAGGAAGGACAACCCTTTCAGGATGCGAATGATGGGAAGCCTCGACTCTAAAATTGACGACATCCTTGAGTTCGGTTCAAAGTCCACCCAGACAGACGAGAGGAAAAATACCTTTAGAGTGACGTCACTGAAGGAAACAAGTCACGAGGATGAGGGTAACATCGATGACGTCAGGAATGACGTCAAGACTAACAGCCAGAGAGAGAACCGGATACAGGCACAGGAGCATTGGGACACAGGTCATGGTCAGCCTGACCTTGCAGTCACCAAAGGTCAGTCTGACCTGCCAGTCACCAACGGTCAGCCTGACCTGCCAGTCACCAACGGTCAGTCTGACCTGCCAGTCACCAACGGTCAGCCTGACCTGCCAGTCACCAACGGTCAGTCTGACCTGCCAGTCATCAAAGGTGACCTGCCAGTCACCAAAGGTCAGCCTGACCTGCCAGTCACCAAACCTGCTACAGCAGATGCCCAGGTTGACCGAGCCTCCACAGAGAGCAAGAAAACTTCTAAGGGCGGGGGGCTGCTACAGATGAGCAAGGCTGTTTGCTCAAAGGTCAAGGGCGTGTTTCTTACCTTTCCTGTAGGTCAAACTCCCACCCCTCCTACACCCCCCAGCTCGCTGGACTATGCAATCAATGGCCATTGTAAATACTGCGGTCATCTTCTGAGCTGTGATCTGATTGGTCGAGACAACAGCCAGACTTAAAGAAGGTCTGGGCAGGTAGCGACAGGTTGGGCTGGTAGCGACAGGTTGGGCTGGTAGCGACAGGTTGGGCTGGTAGCGACAGGTTGGGCTGGTAGCGACAGGTTGGGCTGGTAGCGACAGGTTGGGCTGGTAGCGACAGGTTGGGCAGGTAGCGACAGGTTGGGCTGGTAGCGACAGGTTGGGCTGGTAGCGACAGGTTGGGCAGGTAGCTACAGGTTGGGCTGGTAGCGACAGGTTGGGCTGGTAGCGACAGGTTGGGCTGGTAGCGACAGGTTGGGCTGGTAGCGACAGGTTGGGCTGGTAGCGACAGGTTGGGCTGGTAGCGACAGGTTGGGCTGGTAGCGACAGGTTGGGCAGGTAGCGACAGGTTGGGCTGGTAGCGACAGGTTGGGCAGGTAGCGACAGGTTGGGCAGGTAGCGACAGGTTGGGCAGGTAGCTACAGGTTGGGCTGGTAGCGACAGGTTGGGCTGGTAGCGACAGGTTGGGCTGGTAGCGACAGGTTGGGCTGGTAGCGACAGGTTGGGCAGGTAGCGACAGGTTGGGCTGGTAGCGACAGGTTGGGCTGGTAGCGACAGGTTGGGCAGGTAGCGACAGGTTGGGCAGGTAGCGACAGGTTGGGCAGGTAGCGACAGGTTGGGCAGGTAGCTACAGGTTGGGCTGGTAGCGACAGGTTGGGCTGGTAGCGACAGGTTGGGCTGGTAGCGACAGGTTGGGCTGGTAGCGACAGGTTGGGCTGGTAGCGACAGGTTGGGCTGGTAGCGACAGGTTGGGCAGGTAGCGACAGGTTGGGCTGGTAGCGACAGGTTGGGCTGGTAGCGACAGGTTGAGAGAACATCGATACCATGGCATTGTGTACTGTCATTTGTGAAGAATCGATATTTTAGTTGTCATTTGTGAAGAATCGATATTTTAGTTGGATTAGACAAACTATTAGAAGAAATCAGTGTTGTCAGTTTAGACTTAGATCTAGATGTTAGCTCTAACCCTAACCCTAACCCTAACTCTAGATGTTAGCTCTAAAACTATCCACATGTCTTCTGCTTGTTTAATATCCCTGCTAAATGTCAAATGTTTGTAATCGTGTACACCATGTTCATAATTGTTCATCATCTTCATAATTGTTCATCATCTTCATAATTGTTCATTATGTTCATAATTGTTCATCATGTTCATAATTGTTCATCATGTTCATCATCTTCACTATGTACATTAATTTCATCATGTTCACTTTGTGTTTGTAAACTTTTAAATCAATAACTTGATGTATTTTAAAATGTAAACCTAACCTCTGAATGAACTTTAAGAGATGACTTCCCCCATAAAAAAAAATTTTAAGATCGTTGTTTAGTGTTACTGCATGTTGTCAATTGATTTTGCTCTTTCTGTTCTTGTAGGGCTCTACCCGACCATCTCATGTTCTTGTAGGGCTCTACCCGACCATCTCATGTTCTTGTAGGGCTCTACCCGACCATCTCATGTAGGGCTATAAACGACCATCTCATGTTCTTGTAGGGCTCTACCCGACCATCTCATGTTCTTATAGGGCTCTACCCGACCATCTCATGTTCTTGTAGGGCTCTACCCGACCATCTCATGTTCTTGTAGGGCTCTACCCGACCATCTCATGTAGGGCTATAAACGACCATCTCATGTTCTTGTAGGGCTCTACCCGACCATCTCATGTTCTTGTAGGGCTCTACCCGACCATCTCATGTAGGGCTATAAACGACCATCTCATGTTCTTGTAGGGCTCTACCCGACCATCTCATGTTCTTGTAGGGCTCTACCCGACCATCTCATGTTCTTGTAGGGCTCTACCCGACCATCTCATGTAGGGCTCTACCCGACCATCTCATGTTCTTGTAGGGCTCTACCCGACCATCTCATGTTCTTGTAGGGCTCTACCCGACCATCTCATGTTCTTGTAGGGCTCTACCCGACCATCTCATGTTCTTGTAGGGCTCTACTCGACCATCTCATGTTCTTGTAGGGCTCTACCCGACCATCTCATGTTCTTGTAGGGCTCTACCCGACCATCTCATGTTCTTGTAGGGCTCTACCCGACCATCTCATGTTCTTGTAGGGCTCTACCCGACCATCTCATGTTCTTGTAGGGCTCTACCCGACCATCTCATGTTCTGTTCTTGTAGGGCTCTACCCGACCATCTCATGTTCGTGTAGGTCTCTACCCGACCATCTCATGTTCTTGTAGGGCTCTACCCGACCATCTCATGTAGGTCTCTACCCGACCATCTCATGTTCTTGTAGGGCTCTACCCGACCATCTCATGTTCTTGTAGGGCTCTACCCGACCATCTCATGTTCTTGTAGGGCTCTACCCGACCATCTCATGTTCTGTTCTTGTAGGGCTCTACCCGACCATCTCATGTTCGTGTAGGTCTCTACCCGACCATCTCATGTTCTGTTCTTGTAGGGCTCTACCCGACCATCTCATGTTCTTGTAGGGCTCTACCCGACCATCTCATGTTCTTGTAGGGCTCTACCCGACCATCTCATGTAGGGCTCTACCCGACCATCTCATGTTCTTGTAGGGCTCTACCCGACCATCTCATGTAGGGCTCTACCCGACCATCTCATGTAGGGCTCTACTCGACCATCTTATGTTCTTGTAGGGCTCTACCCGACCATATCATGTAGGGCTCTACCCGACCATCTCATGTTCTTGTAGGGCTCTACCCGACCATCTCATGTTCTTGTAGGGCTCTACCCGACCATCTCATGTTCTTGTAGGGCTCTACTCGACCATCTTATGTTCTTGTAGGGCTCTACCCGACCATCTCATGTAGGGCTCTACCCGACCATATCATGTTCTTGTAGGGCTCTACCCGACCATCTCATGTTCTTGTAGGGCTCTACCCGACCATCTCATGTTCTTGTAGGGCTCTACCCGACCATCTCATGTAGGGCTCTACCCGACCATCTCATGTTCTTGTAGGGCTCTACCCGACCATCTCATGTAGGGCTCTACCCGACCATCTTATGTTCTTGTAGGGCTCTACCCGACCATCTCATGTAGGGCTCTACCCGACCATCTCATGTTCTTGTAGGGCTCTACCCGACCATCTCATGTTCTTGTAGGGCTCTACCCGACCATCTCATGTTCTTGTAGGGCTCTACTCGACCATCTTATGTTCTTGTAGGGCTCTAAACGACCATCTCATGTTCTTGTAGGGCTCTAAACGACCATCTCATGTTCTTGTAGGGCTCTACCCGACCATCTCATGTTCTTGTAGGGCTCTACCCGACCATCTCATGTTCTTGTAGGGCTCTACCCGACCATCTCATGTTCTTGTAGGGCTCTACCCGACCATCTCATGTTCTTGTAGGGCTCTACCCGACCATCTCATGTTCTTGTAGGGCTCTACCCGACCATCTCATGTTCTTGTAGGGCTCTAAACGACCATCTCATGTTCTTGTAGGGCTCTACCCGACCATCTCATGTTCTTGTAGGGCTCTACCCGACCATCTCATGTTCTTGTAGGGCTCTACCCGACCATCTCATGTTCTTGTAGGGCTCTACTCGACCATCTCATGTTCTTGTAGGGCTCTACCCGACCATCTCATGTTCTTTTAGGGCTCTACCCGACCATCTTATGTTCTTGTAGGGCTCTAAACGACCATCTCATGTTCTTGTAGGGCTCTAAACGACCATCTCATGTTCTTGTAGGGCTCTACCCGACCATCTCATGTTCTTGTAGGGCTCTACCCGACCATCTCTTGTTCTTGTAGGGCTCTACCCGACCATCTCATGTTCTTTTAGGGCTCTACCCGACCATCTCATGTTCTTGTAGGGCTCTACCCGACCATCTCATGTAGGGCTCTACCCGACCATCTCATGTAGGGCTCTACCCGACCATCTCATGTAGGGCTCTACCCGACCATCTCATGTTCTTGTAGGGCTCTACCCGACCATCTCATGTAGGGCTCTACCCGACCATCTCATGTTCTTGTAGGGCTCTACCCGACCATCTCATGTTCTTGTAGGGCTCTACCCGACCATCTCATGTTCTTGCAGGGCTCTACCCGACCATCTCATGTAGCGCTCTACCCGACCATCTCATGTTCTTGTAGGGCTCTACCCGACCATCTCATGTTCTTGTAGGGCTCTACCCGACCATCTCATGTTCTTTTAGGGCTCTACCCGACCATCTCATGTTCTTGTAGCGCTCTACCCGACCATCTCATGTTCTTTCAATAAAACTTTTCCTAGCCAGCACTGAGTTTTGTTGATTTGAAGTATCGGCCTATGGGTTAGGGTTAGGGTTATTATTGGGGACATCACGTAAAAACCCCGTCAGGAACATTACATTTGCGACGTCATCAGCTTATGTTAAGGTGTGATTTAGCCCCAATAAGGTTATAATAATTCAATGATAATTCAATAGCTTAGTTGAAAAAAGTAAATGTTATCAATCAATTAAAATTTTGTTTTCAAATTGGTGTCACCCGGTGTAACGGCACCATTCTGCCCCACCCCTTCTCCTGCCAACCCCAGAGACGTAACAATACGGCAGTGTGGATCTGTCATTTAAACGTGTTGCTTGTCTATATATAGGGCAAGTCGTATACAGAACCAACCACAGTCATACTAGAGCCACTGGATTTTAAACAATACTTCCCACTGTCACACATCGTCACAAAAAGTCAGACTTCCAACTGTCACACATCGTCACAAAAAGTCAGACTTCCAACTGTCACACATCGTCACAAAAAGTCAGACTTCCAACTGTCACACATCGTCACAAAAAGTCAGACTTCACACTGTCACACGTCGTCACAAAAAGTCAGACTTCCAACTGTCACACGTCGTCACAAAAAGTTAGACTTCCAACTGTCACACGTCGTCACAAAAAGTCAGACTTCCAACTGTCACACATCGTCACAAAAAGTCAGACTTCCCACTGTCACACGTCGTCACAAATGTCAGACTTCCAACTGTCACACATCGTCACAAAAAGTCAGACTTCCAACTGTCACACATCGTCACAAAAAGTCAGACTTCACACTGTCACACGTCGTCACAAAAAGTCAGACTTCCCAC